ACACGTTTGGGCCCCTCTGGTTTCTTCTCTAGGATGTATTCATTGGTTCCTGTTTTGAAACGATGATGTAACTGTTGAACTGCCTTTGCGACGTTCACACAATTGTCCGTCACTTGGTTGACAATGACCTCATGCGGCACAGCAATTCGCATGCTTTCGCTGAGGAAGTCAATCATCTTTTCTTCCACAACTCCAGTTGCCGTCTTTTGCTTCGTTTCGCGCAGATCTACTCTGCAGGATTTGATGCTGACCATTCTTGCCCATACATGATGCATCCGGGGAGGTTCTACGTAGAGTCGAACAAGCCTAGACATCAAGTAGGGTGTTGACCATCTATGGCGGCCGCCTTCTAAGCCGAACACTTGCAACATCATGGTCGGCTCATGGGGCATTTCGGCCTTCACTTGGACAAGTGAAACCTTCAGATCTGCTGTTACCAATTCGGGGGTGATGGTGGAAAAGATATCGGCGTCAGTGAATGGACCTGGCGTCAATGGCGGCGCGAGACGATCAGCGAGATGCGAAGTACCATATTGCTTGGCTCTGGGGATATCTTGTCCGGTCTTCATGAAAGCCTTCCGAAGTATCATCGTGGCCACTCCTATAGAGTAGTGTCGGTACAGAGAGTAGTGTAACATGATTGTCCGTACTGATGCTTGAATGTGAAACATGGGACCGTGTGCATCTGAGGCTGCTGAGAAGCTAAGTTCCAGCCGGGGAACGGTCATGAAGGGCTCAATCTCGAGAGACTCTGCACTTTCGATAATTTGGCCTTCCATACCCCGAGCATAGAAAACAAGTCGGCGACCATCACCGACTTTGTGTTGTCTCAGTCTAGACCGGGAAGGCTGGGAAGTTGGTCCCATGTCCGAGTCTGACGTCGTAATAGACCTGCTGTGTGTTCGAGTTCTTGCAGGTCGTAGTTGTGGGCCCTCCAACTTGCTCTCTCTATATTCCGCTGATAGAGCATCCCAATGGATAAAGACGCCTCTTGTGTCATCCGAAATCTCTTCATCAATGCCCGCAACCTCAAGATTTAAGTCTGTGGCTTCGAACGACCAGTGCCTTAGCCATTGAGGAGCTGATCGAAGGAAGTTGCCATGTTTACTCGTTTTGGATGATGCTCGCTTCTCGGGTTCGACATCAATTCGTAGCTGCTTGACAATTTGCCGCAGCCCATCCGTGATTTCAGGCCTAACCATACTGATGGAGAAGGATTGTACACTTCCCGAACCTTCGACGGAGACGTCAGGACTTGCAGTAAGGTGGAGTTTCATATCAAAGACGTCGGTTGTGATCAGGTTGAATCTCTCTCTTGAATGAGTCTGATAATATAAGTGATGATTTTGTAGGCGCAATGCGCCGTTCAGCGAATAGTGTGAATCTTCTACTAGAGAGTGAGACGATTCCATGTCGAAAGATATGGAGGAGATGGAGGAAATGATCAGATCGAAGTCTTCAGGGTCTTCGGTCATTCCCAGTGGCGTTAGCTTTATACGGACAACGGGCTCGTGCATTGTGATTTTGTTGATGGCCTTTGGGAGTAGCCGTGTGATGAGATAGCGGCGTTTCTCTTGCAACGATTTTTGGGGCTTTGCTTTAGGTCGTAAGAGAGCAATGAGTATTGGTAAATGGCGAGGGTCAAAATCGAGTGATGGAGAAGTAATGACCGAATTTGCGAATACGATGTTGGTGTTTCGCTCCTCCACGCTGCGGTCTTGAGCTAGCTCCATGGTCTTTGACGGTAAAGTTGTGCGGACAGTCGTGGTTGCCATGGGCACATACAAAAGACGATCGGGCTCCCCACGTCCATCGTCCAGCCCTACTGAGATGGAGAGCGCTGCGGCCAGGGCTTCGTGGGCGATATCGGTGGAAGGGAAGTACATCCGATGTGCTGCTGACTTGGGGTCCAGCCGGTGTAAATCGATTCCAACCTCCTTCATCGCAGCAGTAAGTTGCAAAGTGGTTGAACCCGGTTTGACAGATTCAATGTTCTTATTGAGGCCGAGGAAACTAACAGCAAATTGAACTTCCTTAATGCCTCGGAGGATGGAGCTGACGAACTCCTTTGAATCGGACACTGTTCGGATTAAGTCATCGTCCTTGGAACTTCCAGGCTCAACAGTTTCCTGAATAACATGGTCCAAGAACTCATCCATTGGATCTTCGATTATGTTTGGCTTCGACTCTTGCCGATATTGTTTGTATCGCAAGAGGCAGAAATTCATGTCGTCGTATGGGATGTGGAGCCTACCAAGCTTGAGCGCGAGCGACGCATCTCGCAAGCCTTCCTTTGATTCATAAAGGAATCCGTGTATGTTCAGTTGAGCATGGTCCAGGACCTCCAGAGATTCCTTCCCATCGGCTGTGAAAAGAACACTGCGAATTGACAAAATCCACTCAGCCTGGCGTTCTCGTTTCCTTGATTCAGGCCGCTGAAAGAAATACCGAGCTCGATCCGCAGTCTTTGACCTTGTGTCAACAGCGAGGGTGAGGCTACCCAGCTGCAACTGTCCCACATCTACAACGTTGATTGTCGAGTTTGTGGCGACAACATCCACCATACTCAGCCAGTTAACCTTGCGATGGAGCCTCTTGAATTTTTCCTTGATCTTGGTAAGTCGCTTCCAGGCTTCGCTTCGAGTATTTGGAGCAGTACTTCGCCGACGCTTGAGAGCCGGCTTGCTAGTAGAAGTTGCCTCGCTGCCCTCGCTTTCTTCTTCCACCACGGTGGCGGCAGGTTTGGCTCCCTCCAGCTCTTGAACATCAAAAGTAACGACAAGGTCGGTCAGAACCAAGCTCAGCCAAGTTGGCTGTGCAAATGTCGGCCGATGGACCGAAAATCCCAGCCCCCGAATTTCCACTCGACATCCATCTTTTGGTGTATAGGCGAGCCGTCGGAGAGACAAGTAGCCGATTCGCTGAATTGATATACCGGTGACGATGCGAATCAGGGCGAAGAGAACAAACGAGAGAAGGTAGAGCAGGACGAAGATGCCGAAGACGAAGGTCGGGTTCAACAAAGCCATCTTGAATCGGCTATGCGAAGCCGAGAGCTAGATAGCGACTTGAACGCCGAGCTACTGTCCGTACACCAGCCCCTACCTGGGGTGAAAATGACAGGACTCTACGCAGACTGTGAGACCGACCGGCCCAGTGTCATCGTGCCAACCAATTTGTTCAAGATCGCGCAAAGGGGTACGGGAGGCGAGAGGGGAGCCCGGTCTTTTCAATGACCCCCCTTTGATCCGACGGAGAGGCAGTCGTGATGGTGCCGACTCCGGACTATTGGGCGCAAGGAAGGATCGCACGGAAATCGGATGCAAGAATCGTTCTATGCGGATCGATCGGTCGACTTATTGGATTGCGCTTTGAAGGAATGGAATGGCGGTTTTCGACTTGGATGGAGATGAGCCGCCAAGTGCGCGTTGCTACGTGACGTCAGTTAGGATTTCTAATGCAGGATCGTATTTGCAGTAGCGATGGAGACGAGGCGGCGCCCAGGTAGAAAATGGAACAGAACAGGCGGGTTTAGGGCATTTGTACGGCTGTATGGATGTTGGCGCATCTTACCCAGGCAATTCAGATCAAGGACCCGAGAACGAAATTCCAGCACGAAAGACCGAATTGGCGATGGTGGAATGTTATTCCTTGTATTATCATATTCCGTAATCGTATGGCGGGAGCTGGGTACCGACACAGCCGGCCTGTTAGATTAAGCCAACCTACCCTACGAGGATAAATGTGTTTGTGCAGCTGTGCGGATCGCGAACCAGTGCTCAGTGCTGTGGAGTGCGGTGCGGTGGCATGGCAGGGGTCTGAGCACAGAGGGAGCAAGTACCTCACCAGTACCTCCAGGATGTTCAACTAGCTCCTGCTAAACCGACAGCGAAAGCGTTAGCGGGTGCACCATGGATCTTGCTTGCTTACAGTTGCGAGATAAGAGCTACTACGTGATGCCAGTGGTACCTGCGGCAACCCCTCACACCCCGAGGCCCAATGTCCCAGTCAAGGACACGTTGGCGCAAACCCGCCTGATACAATTCGGCCCAGAATGTGCGTCTCATGATGGCTGTCCGGAATCTGACGGTTAGCGGTTGACCGCTTCTGTGCTGTGGAGGGGGGTTCAGACGACCAAATATGCAGCAATTAGCAAGCTGTCCGTCATTAAGGCACCGCCAGCTCCACTAACGCTGGGGCTGAGCCGAACTAGAAGTACCACAATGTTCCGCATATCACGGTCATATCGGGAAAGAAGCTGGGAGAGGTTGCACAACGAATCACCGTCTTTGTAACCTAGGTAGGTATCTTGGCCTTGGTTCAGTCGCTTCAGAGCTGTCACCCCCACACAAACTGGAAACACATAATTAAGACTCAGGAACACATCCTAACAAAGCCTGATCCAACGCCTTTGAACCACATGCTGTCGGCAGCAAGCCAAATCTGGTCCAATAGGGTTTGGTTCCTGTTAGATTAAAGGTCTGTCAGAGAGCTGTAGGTTGCACGTACCGATGTGCACATTAGGTATGTGACAGGATGGATGCACAGATCGGGAGAACAAGGAAGCTCTCACCCCGCCATTCAGCTATACCTCGATGATAAGGTAGATCGAACTTGGGATGCCTGTCTGCCTACTTACCTACCCTCCTCGGCAAAAAATGGTGCGCTTTTTCATCCATACCTACACCTTACCACAACCTGGGAGAGGGAGCCCACTTGAAGGAAGCCCTCCTAATGCATTGCATCCAGTTGTCATTATGCATTTGGACGAAACGGTTACTCTGCATGCTTTCACCAATTAGGTTTGCCACCTATTTGCATGAGATTTAGCCAATCAAGGAACAAGGAAGTCTGCACACATGCTTCCCGACATAATTATTGGAACACACTCTATAATTATTGTGACAATCGTAATATACAGCACGCAGGTACACGTGGTGGGCAATATTCAACAGACGCAGCCTATTTTGGTGGGAGGGCTATCCAACAAGCCCAGTGGATTACTTCTCGTTTTCTTGGGCCTGTCGTAATAGTGCGATGCGCTCATCGATCAGGGCAATGTCGGCGTCGACTCTCAGCATCTTCTCCTCCATCATATCAACATACTCTTGGTCATTCAACTTCTTCAATGGGCTCCACTTTGATCGCAACCAGCTATCGTCCTCGTCCTTTTCGGCCTTGCGACCTGAGAAGTGGTTGACAATAGCCTGGCCACTTGCAGTCATAATGCTACATAGTACCATAGAAGACGGGATCGTCCTCGTACCTGCGCTTGATTTAGTACACGTTGCGGTAATTCTATATGCACGCCACACTTACGTGTGAGACCCAGCAGTGCGCCTGGGGGAAGACCTGCAACTGCACTTGCTGTCACTTTATTGAGCGGAGTCAAGTTTTCCTCGCGACCCCATGCGGCACGAATGATCACTGTCCTCGAAACTGGGTAGAGGTTAGAATGAGAGAAGTAAAGTTTATATCTTCAAGAGCAAACCATACACCAGTAGGAACCTCCTAGCGCAGCCCATTGTGTTCCAGTCATAATGCCACTCATCGCAGGGCTTGCATCTTGAAGAATGGCCGCACCAATTCCGGTCATAGCTCCCGCAGCACCTAGTCGTGAATATGGTCTCAGTCAATGCTTCAATAGGAAATAGGAAAAATGCCGGCATTGCATTTTACTCACCACACCAACCTCCCACTCGCAATGGTGGCACAATCAAATCAATAATTTCTTGCTGCATGAAACCCCGTCGCCCAGCTGACCTGGAAGGGCCGGGTGCGTTTTGGGGTTCATCTGCAACTCCCATGATGATGGCGCTGATCTGGGCGAGCGGATGGAAAGGTGCCAGGCAATACAGGAAGCGTAGGAAGCGTGGATCTAGAGGCGAATATCAAGCATGGCGGCGTCCGTAGACAACCAATCTGCTAAATGAGAGCGCCCAGACGGCAGAAAAGGCACAGCATACCAGCAGTCCAGAGGGCACCCTTTGACGCGAAACCCACGAGGATATCCATATCAGTGCGAAGTTGCCTCGTCTGCAGGTGGAGCACTGGCCAGGGCGGCAGGCCAATCACAGGTCCGGGTCGGCAGCCTGCGGTCTGTGGCAGTAGCGGAAGGAAAAGGACCAGAGAGCGACGCTAGTCCATTCGAGGACTGGTGCCTCCACACTCACACTCTCGCCGGTGAAAATTGAGGCAACCCTCATCAACGCCTCCAGAAGTATTTTTTTCAATTTACGCCGAGTAAATTTCAAACCCGGCCACCACAACCCCTCCCCAAGAAAACCTCTGCTCGCCGGGGTTTGTGCAGTTATTCAATCGAAATCGAAGTTTCAACCCAGTTCCAGCGCCGATTTTTCAGCCTGGTCCGCCCTCTCGTCGTCTCCCAGAGACCGATAACCCCGCCACATTCGCCCACATCGTGCCAGAGGAGGAGCAGGGCTCTCGACTCTGTCAACTTACGCGCTTCGGTCACGGAATCGTCGCGCGTGGCCGCTTAAACCGCAATCATGGGTAAATCTCTAGTCCTGGAACTGACAAGGCCATGTGGTCTATGAATTATCTGCTGACGAGGCATATTTCTCAGCGCCTAAAAAGAAGGAGCAGCAGAAGATGTCCCTGGGGGACTTTCTGACTGATTCTGGTAAGTCCACTCTTCCTTGCTATTGTACCTGTTTTGCTTTCTTGCGACTGAACCCTAGGATGAGAACCATGTACTGACTCTTAAATAGGTTTTGGAGGAGGCTCTTGGGCTGACGAGGTCGAGGAGACCTATACTGGTACCTGATCCACACTGACAATTGCTTCCGGATATTCAGTCTAACTCCCTCTCAGGAACCCAGCAACTGCCCCCAACCGACCGACCTCGCTTCGGTGGCGGTACTTCTACATGGCAAGACCGAGGTGAGAGCTTACATGAACCTGCCGTTTCGCTTCCTCGTTGACACCTTCTCCAGGATACTCGGTTCGCGAGAGCAACTTCCCGCAGACGCTCCCCGACAAGCCTCCCTACACCGCTCACCTGGGTAATCTCTCGTACGACGCCACGAGCGAGACCGTGACTGAATTTTTCGAGGGATGTGATGTCGCTAGTGTCCGTATCATCGAAGACCGCGAGCTCCAGCGCCCCAAGGGCTTCGGATACGTTGAGTTTGCTCATATTGATGGCCTCAAGAAGGCCCTCACTCTTGATGGCGAGTCATTCCAAGGACGAATGATCAAGATTAAGATCGCTGAACCTCGTATGTTTCCCCGTGCCGCCCAGTCTTTTGTGCAATTACTGACGACCCCTTGAAGCTCGTGGCGGTAGCGGAGACCCTGGCCGAGGTGACTCCATCCGAGAGCTTGGAAACTGGACACGCAAGGGACCTCTCGAGGACGCCCCGAACCGCGGTCCGCGCCAGCAGTCCGACTTTGGCGAGCGCCGTGGTTCCCGGGATCCCGCCGCCGAGAGCAAGCCCGCTCGCGATTTCACTTGGGAGCGTCGTGGACCCCTCGCACCCCTTCCCCAAGAAGAGAATGCCCCAGATGCTGGTCGCCAGCGACCTGCCCCGGAAGGCCTTGGCGAACGCAGTGAGTCCTACAGAGGCAACCGCCGTCAGTCACCTGCCACCTGGGGCGAAGGACGATCTGAAGGTTCTCGTCCACCCGGTCGTGATGGCGCTGAGCGTCCCGAGCGCCCTGAACGACCTGAACGACCTGAGCGTGCCCCCACTGCTGCCGATAAGGATATGCAGTGGCGTGACCGGATGCGCCCTGATGCGGCTGCGAAGTCCCCCGAGCCTTCTGAGGTCGCCTCGCCGACGTCACCGACTGGCCCAGCTCCTGGAAGCCGACCGCGCCTGAACCTTAAAAAGCGAACCGTCGCTGAGAGTGATGCTCTGTCCCCAAGCGCGGGATCTGATTCTAAGGCCAGCCCCTTCGGAGCTGCCCGTCCTATTGATACAGCTACTCGCGAGAAGCAGGTCGAAGAGAAACGAGAGCAGCTTCTTCGTGAGAAGCGTGAGGCAGACGAGAAGGCCAAGGAGGAGCGTCGTCTGGCCAAGGAGGCTGCGGCCCAAGAGGCTCAGGAGGCCCAGGAGGCCCAAGAGGCGAAGGAAGCTCAGGAGGCTCAGGAGAGCGCTAAGGAGCCCGTAAGTGAAACTCAGGAGGAGAAGAAGGAAGAGGGAGCCGAACCATCTGAGCAGGACCAGAACGGAGCCATCAAAGAGACAAAGGTCCCCATCCGAACTCGCGAGCCTCGTGATTCCAAGGACGGCCAGACCACCCCTAAGACCAGAGCATTTGAGACTGGAAGCTGGAGATCTTCGGGTGATCGACCACGAGGAGCCCCTAGCGGACCCCGAGGTGGTGGCCGTGGTGGTTCTGGCCGTGGCCCTCGTCGGGATGACGGCCGCGGACCGCGCTCCAACGGCCCCCCTAGCCAGCAGCAAGGCTCCGTTGCCGGCTCCGAACCCGCAACACCTGTCCAGGAGGACGACGGTTGGACGACCGTCCCCAAGAAGGGACGCCAGGGAAGACCTCTGGCATCTTAGGACAGCCAAGTTGTAAATTTAACCTCCGTCCCCTCCCCATTCCTGGTTTCACGATAGAGATGATGTCGCAAGATACGACTGGCGATTTGTTACATGAAATGTTACGGCCGCCTCTTTCGACTATGCTCTGCTCGCCTATATAACGAGCACTTCTCCTCGCACACTGAATTAGTGTGGAACACGTACTCCTCCCCAGACGTCTCCCCCTGCGCCAAACGCAAGTGTCGCTCGTTATCTCCCTTTGTTCTAGACGGGTCAGAACCATGTCGGCGTTGTTTTTTACTATTTTATTTCTTTATATGCACCTCCCGGCTCACAGGAGCCGGGAGACCCCTCTCGAACCCCATCCCAAAAGTTGTTTTTCGGTGCCTTTGCCGTTATGCGTAAAAAGCGGAATGGCAAGTTATGCGTGAGACGGAGAAGGGGAGAGATACGGAATTGAATGAGAAGAGATGATTTTCATGAAAAGATTTATTTTCCCTTTCTACCCTTTACTTTTTCCCTTCTTTTCTTTCCTTATGCATTTTTCTTGAGTCATGTCATCTGAATGTGAATGATGAGGTCAACTGATACCATAAACCCCCCTCCTCGCTCTCAACAACGCACTCTTCTCCCACCCTTTTCTACCTTACTTTAAAGAGAAACAGACCAAAAAAGAAAGAAAGAGAGAATTTTAAAAAAAAGACGGAATTTTCTTCAAAGTCATCCTTTAGTATTGGTTTCCCTAGAGGTGCATAATGGCAATGTCTTTGGAGTAGGTGCAGAGGTTTGGGAATTTCTTTAACTCAATAGGCCTTGGGAACTTTTTCACTCTCAGTTCATTCCAAGCAATAGCCAGCGACTGTGATTTCATGATTGATGTGTACCGATCAACAGCTCCCCATCGGTGTTGAGGTTTCCAGCTCCCAAGACAAATTTCACAAATGCAGAGAGCCGCACAGCGTACAGTAATGTGTTTATATTTAACGATTTGAATGCTAGAAACAAGAATAAGGAAAAAAACTCCACGTAGACTTGATAACTCTACACCCATGTCCGTAGACTCCTAACATCACAATAAAAACCATAAATCCATACACGACGCTGAGACAGAGTAGTCAATCCAAAACTTCCACGCTATAGGCTCTACGCCCGTTTAGCACCCATATCGTCCATCCCGTAATCGTCGCCCAAATCATTGTCGGAGGCTCCGCTGACACTTCGGCCAATCCAGATGGCAGTGGCGGTCACCATGCCGCCGACGAGGAACCACCCTTCGAACCAGCTATCAGCAAACGAGGGGGACATGAGCGGACCCCCACGAGCAAGAGCACCGCCGACGACGCTCGAGACCTGGCCAGGAAGATGGCTGCGGAGCAGCAGAGCTGATGAAATCACGTAGGTAGCAGCGACCTGGCCGGCTGCCAGGGCCAGGCTGGCCTGAGCGTGTCGGTGCAGGAACTGCGGTGTCCAGCGCGAGAATAGATGGAGTGTCTGAACGACACTGTTGGCACTGAGTAGAAGCATGACTCCACTGAGGAGGAAGCTGATGGTGCGGGCCCAGGCAATCTGGTCCAGCTTAGGATCCCAGTGTTTGGCCAGGACACCCAAAAAGCGGTTGATGGGGTCGGTGCTGGAGAAGCTGCTGGAGGAAGGAGAGAATGAGCGCTGCAGAGTTGTCAACCCTGTCGCGAGGATGCGGTAAACGCAGTAAAAGCTAAACACATATGACGGTATCAAGAAGAGCTGGCCCATCCGCGTCGAGGCTCTCACGGCGGCGTTGCGCTGGTCCTTTAGGATGGACAGATTCGACGCCAGGTTGTTCTCCATGGTTTCCAGAGCCGCGATTTCTATTCGCAAGTTGCGCATTTCGGCCGCATCGCCAGAACCTCCACGAATAGAGCCCATCATTTTGCCCACGAACCCAGACTTGGCCCCACCCTGCGATGGCTCCGAGGCCTTTTGCTCGAGCATCTGCAGCATGTGTCGCTTGGTGAGGAGCATCTCGTTGGCGGCTTCAAGCCCGGCCTGCTTGCGGTTGACGTCGCCGTCGGTTATCGGTCTCTTCCTCCGGGCTGCCGCATCGCTAAACGTGTGCCACGGCGACGAGACAGAAGCGAATCCTGCCAGCAACGCCATGAGGCTGATTCCGACGACTCCGATCCTCTCGAGGCACGCGCGCGTTATTCGTTCGCGGTAGGTATCCAGTTCCGCGCCTCTAGCCTTGGCCTTGCCACCTGACGGGGCGTTGGGCACGACACTCCCCAGGCTCCAGAAGACGAAGAGCCACCCGCCAAAGAGCATGAGCTGCAATCCCCAAGCTCCGCGGGGTAGCTTCCCCTTGGCGGACCGCTGGAAGCTCTGGCCAGTCGCGCTCACCAACGACCGGCATTCGAGCCAGGGCACCATAATGACCAGCAGGAACAGCAAGGTCGGCACCGTGACCTCATGAGTCAACTCCCCGGCCCGCGCGTCCACAATCTCCAGGATCTCAGCGAGAATCAGCGCCGCCAGCGTCGCAGCGAAGCCAACCGTGGCGCCAAACGTCATGATCGCAGCCCTCCGCTGCATGCTCTTGGCGCCGTGCTCGGCGTGCACCTGTCGCAAAGCCGCCGGCGCGTGCGAGGGCAGCACGTGGTCCTCGCCATCGCGGTCGTTGTGGGTGGTGCTGAGGCGCGGGTAGATGTGTCGAGCGGCGAGGGTGCTCGCCGCCGCGAAGACGGCAACGAAGGGCACCAGGGCGAGAATGGTCGTGAAGGTGATGGGTCGCGGTGGTGCCGCGCAGGCGTCTTTACCGCATCCTGAGAAAGGCCACATTTGGCAAGGTGTAGCTTCGACCGCCCTGACCTCTATGGCCAGCGGGTTCGTCGTCTTATCGCGGAGAGAGAGAGGAGGGGGGATGGGTAGCCGGTGCGATCGTGGACGGGCAAGCTTACGTCTTCGATCCGGTGTTTGTGGTTCTCGAAAGCATCGGACTCCAGGGGCCTGGACCCATCGAACTGCTAGTTGGTGCTGAAAAATGCAGAATAAGTAAGAAGCGAGTGATGGTCGAATTAACAATGAGCGATGTTACGAAAAGAATGAGCTGCTTCCGCGAGATGTGAGCATGAGGGATGGTGCTGATGAGACACAAGGCCACGAACGGGAGCACAGGCTGCCCACAGCGGAAGTGGGGTGGAGACCTCCGAGACAACGAGGCCCAGAGCAGAATGATACGTAAGTAATTACCTGGCCTACCTACCTACCTAAGGTATCTCAAACCCCCTTATTGTTGACACCAATAGAAGAAGTACCTGGCAGTAGCGAGCATTTTAATGCCGGCCAGTTCCGTCCCTGTGAACGGTCAACGGCGCTATTGAATCAGTTTTACTGCTAGTGATGCTGCAAATAGCCCTAAATTAGTCGCAAAATATCGGGGGCAGAGATGAAAGAAAAGAAAAGAACAAAAATTGATGAGAGAATGAAGGAGAAGTATGACATATATTATCCGTGCGCACGCAGGTACTACTTTTCAGAAGTCAACAATTAATTCTTCCCGAAGGACAGCTTGATTTCAAATGGTTTGCAGCTGTTTGGCCCAAAGCAGCATCAACACAACCCCATGTCACGGAAGCTCTATCTGGCAAATTTAAAGATGTCTATTTGTTCATGGAGTTGAATTGTCTACCTGGTACTTGGATTGCGCAAGGTATCGAGATAATTAGTAGAGTAGAGTTGAGCTGATGCATGACCTTGCGAGATCCATGTTCAAGCTCGTGGATGCAAGCTACCCCAAACCCCAAACCCCAAACGGCACCAGCACCTGCCTGGTACTTCGCTACAAGTTTCTCAAGTGATGAAGAGACTTGCAGCCGTGTCTTGCGTTGGGATGCAGCTGCAACATTGCGAAGCGGGCAGGAAGCAGCGATTGAGCCCCTGCGAGGAGTAAGGGTGGTGCTCCCAAGCAAGAGTCATGGATTCTCATCCTAGATCTCACATCATCAGGATACAGGTTATACAACGCCTTTTTCAAGGCGGGCCATTCCCGTTTACTCCCTGATGTTGTGTACCCTGATGCTGTGTTTGCATGGCCTTTTCTAGCACCAGGTTCTAAGTTTGCAGAAGCTTGACTCATGAAACTGTATGATGCTTTGAATGCTAGCAAACGCTATGATATCCCGCTCCGTAGCCTCGCAATTGAAGGATACAACGCCAAATAGCCAGAATAAGAAAGACTCGTGAGCTCATATCTGAATACCTATGTCACAAGGGCTTCATTGAACCCACTTGGACAAAAAATATTCCTGCCAAAAATCCTACAAATCCCAGCCATGCTTTTACGAATGGCTGGGAGGCGTCCATTATGAAGCAGTCTTCTGATTTGAAGTGTCGTCGTCTGAGTCCTCATCCTCTTCGACACGCATCTTCAAAGCAGCGGCCTCTCCCACCTCCATCTTGTGGAGCTGCTCCAACTTCTGTTGGTTCAGCGCCTGCTTCCCATCCATGACCTCGAATTCGGCCTCTCCTTCATCATCCTCCGTGTCACTGCTATCGCTTCCAGGGCTGGTGGGCGCTTGGACGAGAGAGTCATCTTCTCCCGCAGGCTCACCAGTTGCTTGGACAGGTGTGCGTGATCTCGGTGTGAGGTTGATAGGCTTGATTGTTGGATCGAATGCAGCTGGCAGGCCCAGTACTTTGGCCACTTGGTGGGCCTCCTCGTCGGCAGATATTTGGGTTTCCAGCTCGTAAGTGCTACTTGCTTCGCTGTCTGCCTCATGCTTTCCATGCGTGGCTGACAGCATGGTGACATAGGTTTGTCGCGCTGAATCGTTCGCACGCTTCGTCTTCTTCTTGATCCGTTTTTCAGTTGGCCGAACGACGACGACGGGGACTGGGGAGTACTGCAGGCAGTATTTCGAGAAAGAATTGCGTGTGTTGACCAATCCTTGCAAGCCGCCGAGAGAACGGCCCCTCGTGCCCACCACAAGCATAGCAGGCTGGTGCATCTGTATCTGTAAAAAGGGAAAAAAAAGCCTTGTAAGTACTTGACGATTTCACGTAGACGAGGGCGGTTATTGCCGCCTTCTTCGGCCACTCACCAGCTTCTGGAATGTCCCATGGAGCTTCCCCATTGCGAATTCCAAAACAAAGCTCAGAGCCTTGCTCGCAGTGTTTTTCGCGACTATCGCCTTCATGATCGCCGAGGCTTCGTCGACATATTGTTTATCGTTGACCCGAATTTCCTTTTCCACCACGCGCACGCATACCACTTCGTCGCCGTCGTCCACGAGCTCATCCAACAGCCACTGGAGCGCGTAGTCGGAATAGGCATGCTCGTCTACCCCGACCATGAAGGTCCGTGACCTTCGCCCAGCGCGATAGCCTTTGTGTTTGACGTTGAGGGTCAATGACGGTGTGTTGTTCTTGGTCGCCTCGCCGAGCGGCAGATTATCGAATGCGACATGGTTCTGGAACCTGTCATTGGACGGCACCGTTAGAGAGGCCATTCCGGGAGGCAGAGGGGCGCGCAAATCACAAGGGGGTCGGCAGGAACGCAGTGATTCTGAGACAACAAGAAAGAATGCGGGCAGTAGGGTTCAAGAATTGACGAGCACGTAGTGGCAGCCCAATCTAATAAGGTACAAGTATGATGCAGGTGGGAGATGTCATACTGGGCGGGGTTTATGGACGGCTTAGGACCGGGGCGAAATTGACTTTGGCAGGCTGTGGTGGTCACTGGGCCGAGCTCATTCCAGTGCTGGATTCTAGCCCGACTCCTTCGCCTGCAGGCTTCGGGTTTCTGGGTCGGGAAGAGCGATGACAGCGGGGTAATAAGGTGAGAAGCGAAAAGTAACGGGTAAATGATGGTCGTGGCAGTGGGGCTGAGCCACGATAGCCGTCACCTTAAGTGTTGGAGGGAATGCTCTAAAGAGGATGGGCAGGGGCGGGTAAGAAGGTGGGGAAGTCGAGTCGAGCCGGAGAAGGATGTTTTGGAGAGCATCAACTCAAGACCCGACACTGACAGAAACTGTTGCGGCGAACCACGACGAACCGTCACGCCTTCATCGCGCAACCGAAATTGACGATGTCGCTCCCTGGGAATAGAGCGGGCGTTGATGGTTTCAGCATAGTTGCGCATTGGGTTGTGTAATTGGACCTTGACGTGGTCCAACCTGAGCCGACCAGTAATTGAAGGGCAACCACCGCTCTCACTGGATAATGTCGCAATTGCAACTGCGCTTCCCACTCGAGATAGCAGACAGACTGCAGGATCATAGATAACGACCTTTGGTCGCAAAAAACATGGGCAAAAGTGCGTAATGCCACTTACCGCACTGGTTGGGGCGAAGCCGCTCGGATTCTCGGCCTGCTCATCCTCTTCTCTGTCCCCTGCGGTAGCGAAGGGTTACGAGGAAGTCGGATCGTGATGGAAGTCCCAGAGGACTTTCTGCTGAGGCCGTTGAGATTTCCTTGCCATTCCTCTGGCGGTGAGACGGGGCTGGAATTTTCTGGGTTCACAGTTGAGAGTCTGGGCGAGAAGGAAGCTGCTGACGATTTTCGGTCGGACAAGTCGACGCTATCGGTTGTCATTGCGCTTGTCGTCGACCCCCCAGCATTGTGATCTGGGAAATACTCGTTTTTGGATGCGCCGGCTGGGACAACAGTCTTTGGAGAAACATCGCTGGATTCGTCTCTCTGGATCGACGAGCCAGGCTCCATCGTCCTTCTCCAAGCCACTCTATAAAGGGGTTAATTGCTGGATCTCGGAACACGCAACTGCCCGATGAATGCCTCTAAACCGAGGCAATGGGCTGAGGAATCTGGCAGGTGACGGTAACGGGTTCCCTAAGGTAGTACAGCTGCTGGTCAACCGGGCACCGCGTGCGACGGTTCGTGTTCAACTAATGGGCAAAACCCTCCTTCCTCTCAGGCGCTGGTGAGAAATGGAGAAGCAGACAAGAGGCGATTAAGAAAAAAAATATGGGTGATGACAGAAAGCCACGCTGGAAGCCAAAACCTGGGAATGGTGTGATTAAAGGGCAGGAGGGATGCCCGACACCAGAACACGCAGAGGCCAGGCTGACGACGTAGTAGTCGTAGCTGTAATGGTGCGTATAGTTTGATGGCTGGATAAGCTGCCGCAAGCGCAGGCACCGTCACACTGGAAGGACAGGGGTTGGTCCGTTTGATGACAAGGACGATTGGGCAGAGAGATAGAGGCCCAGCTAATGGTGGGAGATTTAATCAAAGAGAATGACACTAGGTTGGCTGCCAAGACCAGTCGGCAAGGCCAGGGCAAAAAATATATATAAAATATGACGGACCAGGCCACCAAAGGTACGTCTCTGATCAACAGGGTGGCAAGTCAGACGCACTGATAAAGTGAGCCTTCTAACAGGCTGAAGGGACCCTACTGCCGTGCTGCAATGCAAGGCAGGAAGCCGCGCGATGTTCGGTCAAGGCCTGCAAGGCCCAGGGTTCCGCGGAACCAGGGGGGTCTGACTTGACCGTTTGGTTGGACTCGATTACGGTGCAGCACGTCCAGAGATCAGAACACGGGGAGAGGCGGCGATGTCGATTCGCTGGATCGACGTGGGTGAATCGCGGAGAGCCACTGATGAACCAATGACGGTGAAGTTAGAAACAAGAGCAAGGCAGGACAAAAAGCAAAGAAAACGGGAACAAACGTTGTGCTTTCCGGCTGGTTTCAACTTGTGCCGCGCTACTGTACTGTTTGCCTTGCTCTGTGCAGGGAGCTGCCCAAGTGGCGGGTCGTTTGGGCTGTGGGTTGAGTCTGGCGGGAACGACGGGAGCTTCCTCCTCGGTAAAGATGGGGTTAGGAGAGTAGCCCACCAACAGCTCTTGGAAAGGGCTGCCCGGGCTCTTAAATCCAGCAAAAGCCGTCCATGTGCCCTGATGGCCGTGAGCTTCGACTGGTGCTGGCAGCTGGAGGTTGTTACTTGGACACACGTGCGTGTCGCCTGAGAATGGCTAGAGGGTGGCAGCAAGGATCTTCACCTTTGGCGCGGACTTCTTTTGATAGTACTAGTGAGAAGCTGCGTCTGAGGCGGGACGAAGCGGAAAAAGCCACGATTTTTGGGGTTGCAGTTGGAAGAGCTGACCCGATGCCTCCTACCTGACTGGCTCCCAGCCGTCACCAGCTGCAGCTGATATCTGCCACCAGGCAGCCAGCCTGCTCCTTCGGCGATCTGGCTCCCATCGGATCTAATTATCTCTGTGCTTGGTTGTGTGTGTGCATGCGGGCGTGATAACGATGCGCTCCCTCAGCCCCTAAACCTTATTGCCGTCATTCTCTCGGAACGGTTACAACGTTGGGAGAAACAAGTTCCGCAATCCCCATCCCCCTCACCAAACCTCCACCTCCCTCTGCTGCTTCCTCCTAGCCGCAGCTCTAGGGCCCTCGATCCGCATCGCCAAGGTTACCTTGCCCCTACGCAGTGACGCCGCCAAGACACCCAAGCAACCATCACCAATGGCCTGCTGTTGATCAGCTTACACATTATGTACTTGCATAACCAGCGTTTGCGGGCGGAAAGCACAGATGATGCACGTCGTAGGCTCCTACCGCCAAGCGAGTTCTGGGAGATCCACTGCTGCTGCTTCCTGTATCCACCAGGGCTGGGCGAAGGGAGCTGGAATACGACCGCTGGGATTTTATTCGCAGCTTCGCGTTCTGACGTACCAGTCTGGCTCCGAGTAAGGTTAATTACAAAGTTATAGGCTAACGGCTACTTAGATTTCTGTATTGTCTGCACCCATAGCCTACATGAAACCTCGACGGATACAACGGCAAAAGAAAAAGAAAAAAATGAATAGGGCTCTCGCTCCACCACCGCAACTAATGAATCAGTCCACTGGTTCTCTTGGTTCGTACGACACCTCGCCTTATCCAACTTCCATCGGGTGAGCGACACCAGCCCTTGTCATGGGGGACTACCTACCTAGCATGTGCGTTGGGCTCAATCCCGCGAGAGAGAGAGAGGCCGCGCCCCGTCATCCCCCCCATCATGTGGATGGGAGGGGGTCTCTTAGCGCAGTACGGCTGAGTGTGCGCTGGAGGCCTGGCAAAGCCCCGAAGATCCCATCCCCCAAAGCAGGTTGAGGCAATCTCGAAGATTTTCTAGGTCCCCTGTAGCCACATGCCAGGAGATTTGACATCAAGCCAAGTTAGCAGCAAAGGCGGGGATGTGGACACTCCCTTACGAAGGAACCCAGCAGCGGCTATTAAAAGAAGGCAGGGCAATTAATTAATTATCTTTTGCAAATCGGTGCCCAAGGAGCTGGTCACGAGATGCCTCGAGCAAATTTCGTGTGGATGCGATGCGAGGTGCTCAATATCGCGTAGTCAATAACCCAAGTGCCGTTGGCGGCCTCTGCATGCACTTACATCGTCCTCTCGCTGCCCATCCTGCAGAGTTGTCTCACACGAGAACAAGCTTAACCTCGTTCTGGCAAGTAACGCCCCTATCTAATGTAGGGAGGGTTCAGACGGCTGCGGCCGTGAACGGTGATCAGATGTGGGTGACACAAAATATGGCAAACCAGCGCGAGTCCATCTCGCACAAAAAAATGCCAAATATGGAAAATGATACATGAAGATAATGCGCAGTACTCAAAATAGTGAAAGATTGCCTATTTTGACATCCTAGAACTTAAGTTGCAAATCCATAAATGACTTATCATAAGTTGAACATGACATCGTGGCCATGTTTTATGTTACCCACTGAGAGACCTACGTCTGTGCCAGGGTCAAGCGGGTGACAGGAGAAATGAAACACTCAATGGAAGAGGGGTTCTACTTTCTAAGATAAATCAAGGAATTCAGCAGTATCAAATGAAAAAAAAAAAGTGACAATATATGCTATATTGTCTCTCAAGTATATATTATTGATACTCAATAATTTAATAATATCTATCGCAGACTCGAGAATAAGCAGCTTGAGTGTCTAGCTGACTACATACTAACCTACCTGCATGAGGTGTGGAAGATTGACCTTTTTAGGGCGCATATCTTCATTGGCAGGGCACGAATAGACCGGTGTGAAGTAAAACATTCGAGTTTTTTTCTTTACCAGAAAGTAAGATAGGAAGCTAATGGTTTTGTTTCTGCCCAAAGACATGTTTCGGGAAGCGACGGCGGCCGGATCGTAGCGTTGACGCCGTTGATCTTGGCCGCAATACAATCGTCCTGCCATGAAAAAGGGAGTCTGTTGCTCCCATATGTGGGACACCTGCCAGACCCCTTGTGCAAACTACTTAACCGTGACTCTCAGGTAATGCTCAATTTGTAAATTATTTCAGTCCCTGCAAAGGTGATCCTGGACCTCTGTAACACACTAGGTAGTTCCCGTGCGCCCTTCGAGGCCCTCAACTCCGTGACGCCAATGCCATGCGACCTGCCTACCGGCCTGCATATCTACCGAGTCTCCTTTTGTTTTTGCTCATCTCATTTCATAAGTGGCACATCCAATCATGCTCGTGTTACAGAGCACAGGCATCTGCCTTAGTTGTATGTGCGGGACAGGTTGCGGAGATACCAGTCCACAAGCTTTCTTCCAACCTTCGCCTCAGAGATGTGAATCAAATCCTGTTTTCAAATGTTAGCATGAAATTAACTTGACCAAGAACTAAACGGGGTTAAAGAGTGGTACGTACACCTTGCATGGCGTAGTCAAGGTCACTGACGTTGACCAGCTCGCCCTCCAAGAGGCGCTGGTCCTGCCATCGCAGCTGCTTCGTGCGCTGCTTCGTGACCAAGAGCCAGGCTCGGAGTTCCTCAGGTGTTACCTCGAGGAAGCCGGCGAGCTTGTTCAGGTCCATCGTTGTGTAGAGCCTCAGGTAAGACTTGATGGTAGGGCTCCACATGTTGGTCTTGACTTCGTCCATGAAGACCGCAAGGTGGTGCTCAACGGGGTCCACGTTAGACTCCGGGTGGTCAAAGTCAGGAGGAACGGGGGAGATGAACTTGGGGCAGGCAGCACGGAAGAGCTCCTCGAAGATGGGGAGCGACTCGGGGCCACCGCGCTGCAGCTTGAGGAGCTGGTCGCCGTACTTCTCACGAAGGGCGCTGTGGATAGTATCATCCAGCCTGGTGGGGTGGAATGACACGCAAATGGCGATCAGAGCGTACATCTGCTCGTTCTTCTTGGTAATGGAATCATACTGAGCGTTCTTCTGGAAGTTCTTGGTCCTCGAGACGTAGATGAGGATGTGGCTGAACATGCGGATGGCATCAGCATATCGGTGCATCATCATGTAGGAGAAGCCCACGTAGTAGTAGGTGGTAAAGTGAGCAGCCATGACGCGAGCGAACATGGCCTTCTTGTTCAGCTCGATGTCGTCGAGAGTCTTGAGGGCGAGGCTGAAGTCTCCGAGGAGGGTGTGCACGCGCAGCAGCCCGATGATGGAGAAGTACCCCAGCATGCGGTACAGGTTCTTAGATCCATACTCGCCGGCGACGGCCATGGGGTCATCCCCACGCTTCATAGCGGCCAGCTGCTCGGTGATCTGCGAGCGCTGAATGAGAGAGTAGAGCACATTAAGCACGCTGTAGCATCCCCACGTGTTGGGGTTTTCGCGGAGGATCTGGATCTCCTCCTCGTTCGAGGCTTGTCGTGCGATGCGGGATCGGTAAGATGAGAAAGAGTTGAACTGGTAAATGAACTCGTCGATGACATCCCATGCCCAGTAGTACTGCAAGTATAAGTTAGCTATCTGGTGGACAAGACACGCGCACTGGGTTTGGAACGCACAGATGGAGGCTCCAACTCAATGGGTCCCTCAGAGTTGAGAATGTAATGGAACAGGCTGCAGTACTGGTCGTAGCTCTGGAACTTGACTTCAAGGGGAGCCGAAAAATCGAGAGGTTGAGCAGCCTGAACAAGACGGGCCTGGAGATCGTCGGCCTGCTGAGCCATGGTCAGGGAGTTGGTCTGGCTCAGCTCCTCGCCGTCCTCGTACTGGACATGCTCCTTGTACTCGGCCACAAGAGCCTCCTCCTCGACATCGCTGTCATCGTCAATTGCACGGGCCGGGGCCACGCCGTTCTGGTAGCTCGCCATCGTCGCGGTCGTTCGTTCCGTTCCCACCTGGTATGTTGGCGGCAACGATGGGTGAGGGGCAAACCGGAATTTTGCTCTAGCTGAGGGGCTTGTTGATGCTCTCTCGGCTCACCCAAATTTTCGTGAGCCTTAGGGCTTGTCGTGGGCGAAGCGGGGCGTAATGCAGGGGTATAGGCATAATTTATGCCTATAGACGGTGTAGTGCCGTATCGGAATCTTGGAGGGGGCGCCAAATTGTGGCTCAGGAATGAATATTATCGATAAGGAGGGGTTGAGTCACTCAACTTCAGCGAAAAAGTGCCTCTTCCGTGTGGTGGGGCAACTCATATCATGGAGGGGCAAGGTTGGAAACAGTAGAAACGATACTTTTCTCTAGACGTCAACGGAAATATACTCTTGAGATCTCTTCGCTGAAGCTAGAAGCAGTACAGGGCGGATTGCTTTGTTGTCTTTCTTCCTCTTCTTTTTCCCAGGCCCCGCCACCCTTTGTTGGATTGCATATGACACATATGAGCAATAGTGACGACGGCGTCATTCTGAGTAATACTTACTTTAATAGCAAGAGCCATCTAGGCACAACGTGACTTGCACTGCCAGTTATCTACCAGCCTACTTCCCTGCCTGGTTACCATACACACGACAACTCCGGCCCTTGGCCTATATATTGGTCACCCTGGTCCCAAGATTGGACTTATTGTCGAGAGAGAATAGTAATTCTCTTGTGGCAAATTAATTCTACTGTTGCATTTCCGTCACCATGCCCGTCGTTACGCCAGAAAAGCTGGCTAGCCTGCAAAGGCAGTCTCAAGATGTTCGAAATGTAGGCTTACCCTGTACGCGATATGTCCGGTTCTTTTGCTTAAGCGTCGCAGATATGTATTTTGGCACATGTTGATCATGGGAAAACATCTCTCACGGATGCCCTGTTGGCCAGGAACGGTATCATCTCACCAAAATTGGCGGGGAAGATCCGCTATCTAGACTCACGGCCGGATGAGCAGATTCGAGGCATTACCATGGAATCATCGGCTATATCACTTTATTTCTCTATGCTGAGAAGGTCAGCACCTGACGTAGATCCTGAGCAGAAGGAGTATCTGATCAACCTGATCGATTCCCCTGGGCATATTGACTTCAGCAGCGAGGTATCTACGGCATCTAGACTTTGCGATGGCGCAGTTGTTCTCGTTGACGCCGTCGAGGGTGTGTGCAGCCAAACAGTTACCGTCCTCCGCCAAACATGGATTGAAAAGCTCAAGCCCTTACTTGTGATCAACAAGATGGATCGATTAGTCACGGAGTTGAAGATGACGCCAGGAGAGGCATACATTCATCTCAGCAAACTCCTTGAGCAGGTAAATGCGGTCCTGGGCAGTTTCTTTCAAGGTGAGCGAATGGAAGAAGATCTGAACTGGAGAGAGAGAATGGAAGAGCGGGCGAGCGCCGCTGCAGCCGCAAAAGAATCAGCCATCGCGGACCAGATTGCCGACAATGGAGATGTTCAGTGGGAGGAGCGCGACGATGAAGATCTTTACTTTGCGCCAGAACGGAATAATGTTATCTTCAGCAGTGCTGTGGATGGCTGGGCCTTTACATGCCGACAGTTCGCCAGCTTATATGAGAAGAAACTCGGCATCAAGCGAGGCGCGATGGAGAAAGTCCTATGGGGGAGCTTTTACCTAGATCCTAAAACCAAAAAGGTTCTGGGGCCAAAACATTTAAAAGGCCGAAATCTGAAGCCTATGTTTGTTCAGCTTGTACTGGAGCCGATCTGGACGGTCTATCAAGCAACAACAGGCGGCGATAATGGAAAGGGTGATCCGGTGCTTCTCGAGAAAGTAAGCAAGTCACTCAACCTCACAATTTCACCACACGTCATCCGCGCCCGCGATCCACGACTTCTCATGACTACGGTCTTCGCTTCTTGGCTTCCTCTTTCGACCGCTTTGCTTGTATCTGTTGTTGAGAGTCTTCCTTCGCCACCGAAGGCTCAGTCTGAACGACTACCAGAGCTGTTGGACAGTTCTCCTGGAGCAGACCATATTGATAACAGGGTGAAGGACGCCATGGTGTCGTTCAAGACAGAGAAGTCGGATCCTGTAGTTGCGTATGTCAGCAAGATGGTATCTGTTCCAGAAAGCGAGTTACCTGAAAACAAACGCCGGCCAGGACAGATGAGTGGAGAAGAGGCTCGAGATCTAGCTAGGAGAAAGCGAGCCGAAGCTGCCAGAGCTCAGGGAGCCAACGGCGAAGCAGCGGTAGAGAACATCGCAGAGTCTCTGGCTAACGTTGATATTGACAACATCACACCAGAGCTCGAACAAACAGAAGTCGATCCCGAACACTTGATAGGGTTCGCGAGAATCTATTCCGGAACATTATCTGTTGGAGATAAGCTCTACGTCCTTCCCCCCAAATGGTCCCCCGCCCATCCAGACCACGATCCCCAACCACAAGAGGTGACGGTCACCGCTCTGTACATGTTGATGGGCAGAAACCTGGAGTCCTTACAGCAAGTTCCGGCTGGAGTGGTCTTCGGAATCGGGGGTCTTGAGGGTAAGATACTGAAGTCAGGGACACTCTGCAGTCTACGTGATGGGGCTCCCAACTTGGCTGGAGTCAGCATGGCAGGAAAGCCCATTGTCCGCGTCGCTCTCGAGCCTGTCAACCCCGCGGATCTTGACAAGATGATCAAAGGTCTGGAGCTTCTCATCCAGAGCGATCCTTGCGCCGAGTACGAACAGTTCAGCAGTGGCGAGCATGTTCTTCTGACAGCTGGCGAACTGCACCTAGAAAGATGCTTGACAGATTTGAAGGATCGTTTTGCGCATTGCGAAGTACAAGCAGGAGAACCTATTGTCCCCTATAGGGAAACGATTGTGCGAGCTGAAGAGATGCGCCCTCCTGTTAACCGCGAGCTTGGACGTGGTGTTGTCGTCGGTGTTACCAGCTCCAAGCAAGTGCACATTTCCCTTCGGGTTCGCCCGTTGCCAGAGGAAGCTACAACTTTCCTTCTTAAGAATGCGGATTCTATCAAGAGGCTATATACCGATAAGAGTTTGGCAGACAGTGAGGATAACGTGGACGGAGCAGATAGGGAGAATATTGATGCCGATACGGAGCTTGCTGCAGGCAATACTCTATCAGTTGATGAGTTGAAGAAGCAACTCCAGCAATCTTTGGAGAGAGGCAAAGGCCGAGAAGCCTGGAAGAACCAGGTCCACCAGATTGCGGCCTTCGGCCCTCGACGAACAGGTCCAAACCTCCTCATTGATGCTACAAAGGATGGTATCTTACCCAAGGTATTCGCAAATGAGAAGGATCAGGCTTCGGCACCTCAAGCAGGAGAGGCTTTACATCCTAGTCATCTGTCCGACAAAATTACCTATGCATTCCAGCTGGCGACAGCCCAGGGACCACTCTGCAACGAGCCTGTGCAGGGACTAGCAGTCTTTGTGGAGGATATTTCCCTAGATCTTCCCGAAGACGATTCTTCAGCCAGGGACAAGCTCGGACGTTTGACTGGTGAAATTATCAAAACCTTCCAGTCCTCTCTACGATCTGCATTCCTAGACTGGTCCCCACGAATCATGCTTGCGATGTACAGTGTCGAGATCCAAGCGTCTACGGAGGTTCTAGGCCGAGTGTACGATGTGTTGACCAGGCGTCGAGGTCGCGTTATCGCCGAGACTATGAAAGAAGGAACCCCTTTCTTTACAATTCAAGCCCTGCTCCCCGTTGCGGAGAGTTTTGGCTTTGCAGACGAGATGCGGAAGCGAACAAGTGGCGCCGCCCAGCCTCAGCTTTTATTCGCTGGGTTTGAGATTCTAGACGAGGATCCATTTTGGGTCCCCTTCACGGAAGACGACCTGGAAGATCTGGGAGAATTCGGAGATAAGGAGAATGTGGCAAAGAGGTACATGGACGGTGTGCGTAGGAAGAAGGGTTTACTGGTTGAAGGAAGAAATGTGGCTACGGATGCAGAGAAACAAAAGACCCTCAAGCGGTAAATGAGCAATCAGAAAGAATACAATTAAAATTTATACAATAGAGTACTTTGGACCGCTGGCCGACAACCCCCTCACACTCAATGGATTACACTTGTGCTTTGTTGGGCAGCTTTGAGTTTACGGCTGCAGGTTACAGACCTGCAGTCTGACAAGGGGGCCGCCAACTTCAACAAATGCAGCTCGTACCCCCGACGACGGCCTCAAGCATGAAATAGGGAGACTTTTTTGTAGCCAAGTGACGAGCTTGGGTGTGCACTGCAATTCCCTATTTTGGCAATTCCACCCAGAGACTGTCTGTCCGTGTCTCGGGAGGGAGGCGGATCAATCAGTCTACCTACTTAACTGGTGGTGAGAATTGGGCTTGTGCTCGGGAGATAGGAAAGTGCATTTCTTACTTCAGCACAGCATCGGAAGCCTGCAATGATGCCATTTTCGCATGTTGATTGGGAAACACAAGAAAGCCAAGAGCCAACAACAGATGCCGAGTTTCAATATATGCAGTGCGTACGCATGCACCCAGCCTTCAGCTTTTCTTGGCGAGGCATCCAGCCCATGTTTCATGTCGGGTGCGCGCAGCCCGAAAACGGCGTGGCATTGCGACCAAGTGGCCCTGAAATGGGCGTGATGGACAAAGACCCTCTGGCCGGGGGAGCGTGCGAGGCTTTTGGTGGGTGGAAAGAACCGGAAGATCCCCACACCACCGCACGGTACAGGCCAGCCAGACGCCTGGACGGTGCGGTGCACCACCCACTGGGCCTCCGATCGCCAAGCGCAAGGCATCATGCAGGCGAACCACTGAACCGGCAGTACGGCGCTGCTGATTAAGCGGAGCCAACGGCGCTGCCGCCTGGGACTTACAGGTGCCTGCCAGTGGGCATACGCTGTGAGCGACCGGTGATTTTCGCCTCATCCTCGCCTTTCTGGCAGCACATCTCACCCGCTCTCTCCTTCTCTTGCATACACGCTCACACACACGCACAGTCCCTCTCTTACGCCCGTTCACCGCACTTCGAGTACATACATTTCTTTTGCCCGTTGCTGTCTTTGCCGCACTTTTACTTGCCATCCTCTTCATTGCTTTGGCCCATCTCGCTTCCCGTTCCCGGCATACCCATTCCCATTTAATACCATTCCATCTACGCGAGCGCGCGGACACGCGACGTCGGGCCTCTAGAGCCCCTCCAACCCCCTAACCACCACTACATCCACACGCCCGGCGCCTCGGCCGCCATCTCCAGAACAGCGCCATGCCGCTCTTTGGCAGCAAGAACAACAAATACAAGGTCGACCCTCCAAAGATCCGCATAGAGAAAGTCGCCGTCACCCAGCCCGCCGTCAAGCCCGTCACACCCTCCACCAAGGCCATCTCCAACGCCTCGTCGGCACGCTCCTCGCCCGCGGCCACCCACCGGCCGTCCCCCAAACCCTCCTCGCTCCCTCGCCAGAAGAGCCACTCTCCGTATCCGTCCTCGTCGGACGAGAAGCGCGCCGAGCGGAAGCGCAAAGCTGGCTCTGCATCGTCCACCCGTCGATCCCCTGCTGTGGACCGTCCCGACTTCGGCAAGGACAGCGATGGCGAGGAAGACGACGGCTGGCTGAAGCTGGATGGCAGGAAGAGGCAACGCAAGGGTACTCTGAATGGGCGGTCCGAGGACACGGCCAGGCAGATCAGGAGCGCGCGGGCTTTCGAGGTGGGGGATGCGGGACTCGACTTCATCCACGCCGTGCAGGTGGCGTCTCTCCAGCACAACTGCGTCCCTGCCATGGGGGGCCAGAGAGAGGACGTGGAATTCGAGCTGCAGTATCCAAGTTTGCAGCCTCGTGAAAAGTACGTTTATTCTATTATGGTCTATCCTCTCTATTTCTTCTATATGCTAACGCGACGCCAGATTCGAACTAGTTTGCGGCAAGGACAAAATCAACGCCGAGGAAGCGAGTGTCCGCATCGTTCAACTAGTGGCCGAGACATATCTAACGGAAAAAGAAGCCGAGCCTTTCACCAACCCGAAAGGACTAATACGCCGCCTGGAGAAGGCCAGGAACAGAAATGTCCAGGACTTCATGGGCTTCAAGGCTGCACTTAAGGAGTACAACGACACGCTTCTTGCTCTAGTTGAGGACGGCATAATTGCGAAGAATCTCGACAACCTGCACGAGCTCCCACGTGGACTAGTTGCATTCATCCTGGATCAGATCTATGACCGGGTTGTCGCCCCAAAGGTGGAGCTCCTCTCCAAATATGAGATGGGCTCCGACAATGTGTATGGCGAGCTACTTCATCCTTTTATTTCAAGGTTGTTGGTAGATGAGCTCAAGATGAATTCGAAGCAGGTCTTCGTAGATCTGGGTTCGGGAGTCGGAAACGTCGTTATGCAGGCTGCATTAGAGATTGGGTGTGAGAGCTGGGGCTGTGAGATGATGGAGAATGCGTGCAACCTGGCAGAAGTACAGCAAACCGAATTCGTCGCGAGATCCATGCTCTGGGGGATCAAGCCGGGTGCTGTTCATTTAGAGCGAGGCGATTTTCGGAAGAACACTCGCATTCACGAAGTTCTCAGACGTGCCGACGTTATTCTCGTGAACAACAAGGCATTCACCCCAACGCTCAACGACGACTTGGTACGGATGTTTCTTGACTTGAAGGAGGGCTGCAAGATCGTGTCGCTCAAATCATTTGTTGCGGATTCCAAGAGCAACCACAACATCAATGATGTGGGCAGCACGATCCTCAATGTGGAGGAGCACATATACCCCGAGGGTTTTGTGAGCTGGACTAATGCGGGAGGTGCTTACTACATCTCGACGCGCAAATAGACTAAAGAACTAGATGTTAGCCACAGGTATTGGTTTTCGTGTATAAGCTTGGGTGCATGGATTAAGGGAAACTCATGGACGGTGTTAGCGTACAGAATACTTCTTATTGTTTCAAATCAGTATGCGTTGTCATTATTTGTAAGTCACTTCCAAACTCCGCCGTTGTGATGATGCAAGTTTCGTTAGTGATAGGAATCGTAAGCGTAAAACATGGAGGAAACGAAAACGTCGGGGCAACATCATGTGCCCTTCTCGAAGAGTGGTTCGTTGGCAAGATTCATCGCATCCACCTCTTGGGCCATACGTTTCATCCATCGATCGACGAGTTCTTTGTTCTCCTTCTTGACTTTGTCTCTTTCTTTCTCGACCATTGACAGCTGTAGATTCAACGCGATCATCTCATCCTGGACTTGCTGAACGAGAAAGTCAGTCCGGTGCTGCTTTGCCACAATTTCACCCAGGCCCGCGCCCTTACCTCTAGAAGTTTCCGTTTCTCACGGAGTTCGTGGTCCCGGTCCTTCAACTTCGTCGTGAGGCCAGCTCGTTCGGTATCCAGCGCCGTGATGGTTTTGGTCTCCTTCTTTGTTCGTACACGAAGCTTGTCCAGCTCCTCCTCGGCTGTTCGTAAACGCGCTTCCGCGACACCTTTTGAGCGCAGAGCCTCGGTGAGTTCAAGGCGTAGTTGGGCCAGGCCAGGGTCGTCGAGGTTCGTCGTCGGGGCCGCTGTGGTGTCGTCTTTGGGGCCGGGCACACGAGCCTGTAAAGCGGCCTTTTCTGCTTCGAGCGCAGATATCCGGTCGGCCATTTGTGAACCTAGAATAAACACATGATGAGCTTCGGGAAAGCAAGGACCCTTGAGGTGGGTAGTATCGAGGGATGCGTACATGTCTGGACCAGCTCCATGTTCACTGGGTTATTGAGCTCGACATCCTGGAGGGATATGGCATATTCCTCTTTCCATTTGGACATTGCGACTCCAAACTGCAAGCTGGTGCTATCTGTCTGGTGTTTTCCAGCCTACGAGCCCGTTTTGGTTTCGGTCAAGGGAGGGTGTGTTTCTCGGACGGAATTGTCGTTGACAAGTAATAGTACATGGGAAGGCAGATCCCGCCCGCTGATAAGTTAACGGTGGGGGGCCTAGATGATGCAACCAAACCCACTTAACAGGCACCTTGTATCGGTACATGGCTGTCAACCGGGTGACATAAGAAATGAGACACCAAATTATTGTGCCTTCTTTGTAACCATCAAATGCTGCAATAAAGATACAATAACCCCTAAAAAAGTACATTAACCCTTTTATTAGCTTCTAAATAGTATTAAAGTCCTTCTTTGGTCTTTTTTGAGGATTTTTAGAATCAAGTTGTAGTGAATACAACACAGAGCCTCTCCAAATAGGTAGGTATGGACGCTTGAAGTGCCGGTTTGGTGTCTCATCTCTTATGTCAGCCGCTTGGCTGTTTACCCGAGAAATCTCCTTTGACAGGTCTCAACGTCACCGCTGGAAACGAGCTCCTGGCGCCGCCAATTAAATTACAGCGTGCTCTCGGAGGTGTCCAGACAGGCAGCAAGCTCATCCTACCAGCCTCCAATCTGATCGCGCTGCAGCACCAGAGCTTCACTACAGCTGTTCCACCTCTCACCCTGGATACCCAAGGTGTGGATTTGACGTTCTTGGTCAGCATTTTCTTGACGCCGTTGGAGACCATCATGAGATAACGCGCCATCATGGACGCACTCCATCCGACAGCTGAATGGGAGAGTGTTGACGGCAAATGGTTCCGGAAGACACAGTTGTATACTGAGGTCTTTGAACAGGATCGGGACTTGGATAATTTCATCGTCGTGGGAGCTCCCTTTGCTGGAGCTTTAGGTAAGGGGATCTCTGCCCGTGTCGGCCGGCCATCGGGATGCGTGTCTGTCGCTGGGCTCGGTTTGATAGAAGCTCGCGAATCATGTTCTAATAGCTCTTAGCACTATGGCGCGACGATACCAAGCTCCAGGCCTACCAGCCAGGGAAATCATCCAAACCTGCAATTGAATTATACAGTCTTGCGGGAAGGAAGCTGCGCTCTATCCCCTGGGACAAGGGTTCAATCAAGAGCTTAGGATGGTCCGAGGACGAGTCCTTGCTGGTTGTCACTGAGGATGGCAGTGTTCGTTGCTATGACATCCAGGGAGATTTCAGCCACTTCTCCCTTGGCCATGGGGTGGAGAATCATGGAGTGAAGTCGTGCCGGTAGGTGAAGCTTGCTGCAGACTTATCTCTTCATCCTAGCTAACCAGTGGGAACATCAGCTTCTATCCTGATGGAATGGTTGCCCTTCTTGGGAACAACACATTGGTCGCAGTCTCGTCATATAAGGAGCCGCGACCCAAGCTTCTTGCGACACCTCCAGAGGGAGAAATTCATTCTTGGGCTATCATATCACCAGACCACACTTTGTCACGATCCGTCGAGGTTCTTTTGAGCATTGAGAAGACAGTGTACGTTATTGATGCTACAGAGTGCGATGATAGGTTCCTTGATATCGGCCCATTCTCTCACATCAGTGTGTCTCCTGATGGGAGATTTGTGAACTTATATGGAGAGAACGGAAAGGCGCATATCATCTCCAGCGACTTCCAAGAACGAATCTTTGAACATGACTCCGACTCGCAAACCCCTCCCAAGTACGTCGAATGGTGTGGCAGCGATGCACTCATTGCATGGGAAGATGAGGTTCACGTGATTGGATCTGGAGAGGCTAGCATATCCTACATCTATGACAGCACGCGCGTTCACATTGTATCAGGTAAGTCCATGCGAGCGATTGAGCACTACGGAGGCACCTTCTAACCATGTGGTAGAATATGATGGTGCACGTCTTATTACAAATGATTTCTGTGAGTTCTTGGAGAGAGTTGCGAAGGAAACCCAGGAGGTCTTTGGAAATGCCTCCGATTCGTCTCCAGCCTCTATCTTGCTGGATGCTGTCGGTCAGCTGGAGATGGAGTCTCCCAAGGCTGATGACTACATCCAGCTGATCCGACCAAATCTGACTGAGGCCGTCGACACCTGTGTCAACGCTGCAGGGCGTGAATTCGAAGTTTACTGGCAAAAACGTCTTCTCAAGGCAGCCTCGTTTGGAAAATCAGTGCTCGATATCTACAACAGTGACGATTTTGTTGACATGTGCGAAACTCTGCGGGTCCTCAATGCTGTCCGATTCTTTGAAGTCGGCCTACCGCTGTCGTTTGAGCAGTTCCACCGGTTAACACCCGAGAGGCTGGTGCGGAGGTTGCTGAACCGCCATGAATACCTTCTGGCATTGAAAATAGCAGGGTATCTCAAGCTACCCACTGACAACATCTATGTGCACTGGGCATCCAGCAAGGTGCGAATTGGAGCCGAGGACGACGAAACGATTTGTCGACTCATCGTCGACCGACTCAACGGAAAGCTAGGCGTTTCCTTTGAGGAAATCGCTCGAGCTGCTTACCATGAAGGCCGTGGGCGGCTGGCCACAGAATTACTGAACCATGAGCCTCGAGGAGGCCGACAGGTGCCTCTACTCCTAGACATGGAAGAGGATGAGTTGGCCTTGGACAAGGCCATCGAGAGTGGTGATACAGATTTGATTCTCTCGGTGGTTGTCCAGCTCAAGAAGAAGCTCCCGCTCGCTGCATTCTTCGATGTCATCAGCGCACGCCCAACAGCTGCGGCGCTTGTGGAATCCTCGGCCAGCCTTCAAGGCGACCATGCTCTCCTCAAAGACCTATACTACCAGGACGACCGAAGGGTCGATAGTGCGAATGTATTTATTCGCGAGTCACTGAAGCAGCCCAGCGCACGCACGGCGTCTGATAAGCTGGCGCTAGCAGCGAAACAATTGTCGGATTCCAAGGATTCTGCGTTTGACTTGATAGTCCTCAAGGAGGCATCAGCATTGCTTCGAATTCAGGAGACTTTAGACCGGGACTTGACAGACACCTTTACAGGGCTGAGCGTCAATGAGACCATGTTCAAACTCATTCGCTTGGGTTATCACGGCCGAGCGAAGAAAATCCAGAGCGAATTCAAGGTGCCCGAAAAGGTGGCATGGTGGATCAGGTACGCCAAATATCTACAAACCGAATACATCTTATTGCCAAAATTGAGCACTTACTAACTTGTTCACCAGGCTTCGAGCGCTTGTGGCCAAGCGTGAATGGAATGAAATTGAAGAAATTGTTAGGGCAAAGAAGAGTCCGATTGGCTGGGAGGTAAGTTCCACATGTCCTCAGCGTCACGTCTGTTCATCTAGGGGGATATTCTGACACATCGTGTTTCTCTTTAGCCTTTCTATAACCTCATCTTACAAGCCGGCAATCCCAGACTGGCAGCCATATTTATACCAAAATGCACAAATCTTGAAGCGGGGGAGACGATAACCATGTATGAGAAGTGCGGCATGCGGCTCAAGGCAGCTGAAGAAGCGGTCAAGACTAAGAATGCACAAGCTTGGCAGAAGCTCTTGGAAGCTGCTGGGAAGACCACTTCTGAGGGGAGAGAGATTGAGCGGCTAGGCGCTACAGTATTTAAGAGATAGGCCTATCAGACGACCCCCAATCAGCGAACCATTTTACGTATAGAATTAGCCAGAGGTATCCCACGTTTTCCTCTTAATTAATATATCCCATTTGACAAGCTTGACAAGCTTCGCTAAGAACGGACGATCAATGAGTGTGACCTAAGGGAGTGCCAAGTGGGTGACAGGAGAAATAAGATACCGAAAAGAAGAGTGATCCTACTTTCGAAGATAAATCAAGAAATTTAGTAGTATAAAACGAAAGAAAGTAATAATATTTATATATTATCTCTCAAATATATATTATTAATACTTAATAATTTGATAATACCGGTTGCATACTCGAACAATAAGCAGCTTAATGTTCGAGTGTCTTATTTCTCATATCACCCATTTGAGTGCTTAGGGGTGCCAATTCCTCTGTCACCCACTTGCCAACGGGATTCTCGGTCTGCTAAGGCAAAAGCAGATCTATATCTACGATCATCTCAGCTGATGCCGGCTATGAGATAGCGTGCTCAACAGATTTATGATCTGCCTAGTGATCAGCCCACGCAACTATATTCTCAGGTGACAACAGCACATGTGAAAGAGTCCAGGCGGGATTCTAGCGGCGCAGCGGTCTATGAAGAAACGGGTCGGCTAACAACTAGCTCAGTCGCCTAGGTTGGTCTCGACGTTGAAACACGGCGTGCTAAAACATGGGAACCGCCACGAGACGCCAAGTCGGAACGAGTCCATGACGAGCGGAAGGAATGCGGGAGGCAAGCCTCGACCTACTAGAACTGCCCAGCTGGACCCGGAGACGAGGCGAGAGTTCCCGCTGCCACACACACAATGGCAACGGGCAGTCAACGGCAGCGAGATAAGCGCAAGCCGGCGGGATTGGCGGGGGTTGCACGAACGTGTGTGCGTGCAGTACAAAGGTCGTGTAATCAGTAAGTGTGCGTCATCTCGGAGGGATGCCATGCGTATGCCGGCATTCGGTAAGTTGTACTACATGAAGCCACCTACGTTCTCGGATTGCTCGCCTTGGTCATGCATTCGTCTCAGTCAAACCGTGGATGTGTTTGGCATGCCTAGGGCTGAATCCCCCTCTGCGCCCTGCCCGTTTGCGCTGAGAAGGGGCCATGATTGATAAACAGGAACAGTGACCCCCAACATGTCGCAGTCAATTGGATTGACATTCCAGAGCTTCGCCAAATCTGCCCTGGGTCTGGCGGGCGAGGAATGAGGTGCCTCGCTACCGACCGCAGTCTTTCGCAAACCAGGGTCCGGCAGCATTCCAGCGGGGGCGGGAGTTCCGTTTCCTGTCTCTCCCGCCAGCCTGGGCAGAGCTGAATGGCCCCAAGACCATCACATATTCACTGCGCAGGATGTTTCGAGCTGGGACCCGACGCTGGCGGGTCTTTTTTTGTCCTTGTCTTGGTCCTGCCACGGCTCTGCCCCCTCCCCTTCTGCTGATGCCGTCCAGTGTCTCGTACCTAGTATGTGTTAGTTATTAGTAGAGTCGCGGTGTCTCATTACTCCAGAGACTTTCCTCAAACGGCGGTTTTCCTCAGTGGATGCTGTAGTGACAAATTTGTTTTCCCTTCCTCTTCTCGACGGGCGGGTGCTGCAAACGGGTCGAGTAGCCCCACATCCCGAAAATGCTGCGATCAATCCAGCACTCTTCGGTCCCGGTCTATCTTTCCAGGAACATTTAAATTGCTTGACATGTCTGTGATATTTTTACTGTGTGTAATGTCCCTGCTAGCGTTTCCCCAGAAAGCGACCCAGCCTCAATCTACGCCTATTAATAATATCCTTCGGGATCGATCTGGGGTGTAAGCCTTCTGATTTCGGATCTGGGTGTAACAATATAAATCCAAGTAAACATAAACAAATAACAGAACAAGTCGGGTTTCAGTACAGACGGGTAGTAGATGTACTCGGTCCCTCAAAGTTGACTTGTCTAGCGGGCCGCGCTTTACATTAACAATGGACGATTAGGAAAAGGGATTCCCAGCGCTATAATAATAGCGACGGTCGCTAATGCTCTGCATGTACCCGACGTGCGTGGTAAGCTTACCCTCACAACGGGCAGATCGCTCACCCAGGTAGCATTGCATTGTTGTGCCTGGATCTGAATCGGATGGATTTGGTCATATTCCTCCTATTGATATTAATATTTCTGACTATCCTCGTGAAAGTAGCATCGCCAAGCTCGGTCGCGAGGGCCAACCGTGATAGGACTAAAGCAGCAATGGCACCACCAAAAAGCAAACGGTTCATGGACAACGATGTGGCTTGATCGCCCCATGCGCTCAAACACACCCAAATCCGCATACTGAACTGGGGTTGGGTGCTGAATGGCGGGCCAGTGACGAGCTAAGACAATGGGATGGATGGTGCAAGCAGAAAATGACTCCATTTCTGGCCAAGGAACGAACCCGATAGTCCAACATGGATTGGGGCAAGTTCCAGATGCGTCAAGACTGCACGCAGTGTGTGATGCACTATCCAAGACACAGGGGACCAAGCCAGCGGCGACCAGTCGTGTGACATGCATCTATCAGCAGGTCTGGCTGCCCTGTGCATATCGCCCACCCGGGTTCCAGAACACAGCGTCGCAGCTGCGTGGTGGGATTGTTCTCTACGCGAGCAGAGAGTTTGGACGGCACATGGCCAAGCATCAGTTGATGCGCTTATGCTAGCGTAGCGCAGCGAACGGAACGGCCTGCCTTGAGATCTTGTATCGTCTCAAGTTAGAGATGGTGTCGATCTCTTCCATGCCGCCCTAGGGACTCCATAGTACGTATTGAGATGAGAAGCTTTTGCTCGGGCCACCCTAGTTCGAGGAGCTGACTTCCTCCCGCCTCAATCGCTCAGCTCTACGCATTACGGCGTATAAGTACTCAGAGGGATTGTTGCACGCCTATGTGGGACGGGTCGACTGGACTCCAACCACCGCAAATCTAACTGGTATCGGTAAATTTTCCTACGGGATTTTTCCAAAAGTAAAGACAGTGATTCATGTTCTTATTCTCCATGCATGGTAGGGAGCCCACAACGTAGGGCAAATCGCTCGTGCGTGCATGTGTACAGGCGCCTGTTACACACAGATCCAACGGTCACCTCACACATGATCTGTTTTCTGCTCCATTTTCCCTTCTCCTCCCCTCTCTCCTCGTCTCTCCGTCATTGGAAATTCGGGGCGGACCCGACAGATGCCAGCCAGGTCTCAGAAGCTGTCTCCGTACCGCAATGTTTCGGCCCAGCTGATTGCATCGCTTGGCCTCCGTCCGCACGCCAGTGGTCTTACCCTCTGGGTGCCGGTCTCTAGTGGGCTGGAGCCCACCACTGAGGACGCACACCGCATCTCAGTGGAGGTTGTCGCACTATGACAATCGCAAGCGCAGTAGCGGCCCCCCTCCTCTTAGAAGTTAGGCTCCTTGCCAGATGGAACCTGGCAGGGATCAGCACAGCCCTGTTTGTGCCTGGGCCCGACGCTGAGTTTACGGGGGTCGGCTACGCCGTGGACGGTGGACTCCCTCACTGAGCCTGAGCCTTCAGGTCAAATACTTAGGCCGGGCCTCCTGCCTGTATATTGAAATTAGAAACGGAGCCCTGCTAGTATTGATTGGAGTTACACATCTGTGCTTTTTTAATATTTCTTTTTTCCTGCGCCCTGTCCGCTCAGCTCGCTTCTCAGTTCTCAGGTGACAAATCCAGTGCAGCACCTACCTGCCTAGACCTACCACCTAACCCACCCCCAGCCCAGCCGTTAGTCCACCTGGGTACAGGAGGGAATAAGCCCCGTCCAGGCGCTGAGACTGGCTCTGCCTCCCTCGACTCCGAATCCCCTCCCCTAGCCTATCCACCCGCTGCTTTCTGCAGCTTCATATTCCACCCAATGTTGTCTCCTTCACCACAACCTATGATGAGCAGCCCGCCTCCTCGATCAAGCCGCCTGCGCCGATTCTCAAATTTGCGAAACATTACCCACGGTCACCTGCTCGGTGGCATTACTTCCAGTGGGGGTGGGAAAGGAGGCTATGGGGCCAACGGCACGAGCACCACAGGCAGCACTGACAACCTTGCGGGCTCACCAAGTGACCCTGAAGGTCATTTTGTAGCTCTTCGATCTGCACCTCTACCCGGCCACTCCAACGATCTATCACTAGTCAACTCTGCCCCGGCAGGCTCCTCCTCATCGCAGGGTCTCTCCATCGACCTCACCAGTCCGCTCGTGGTCGCATCTGCTGAAACTTCACCTTCTGCAATTCCCAGATCGAACCCCATGGCTCTCACAACACCAACCTTCGGCAGGACCAACGGGGCCAGTGCCCCCTCGACTCCGACTCCTGGAGCTGCGAGCGAGGGACAGCCCACCACGGCCGCGACACAGACTGCTGACAGCGCCGCCGCTGCCACAACAAACTCCAACACCACAGGTCCCGATCTGCTACCCTCAATCCGCTTCTCGGCGTACTACGACCCACGGTCCACTCGTCCCTCTCTGACATTCCCTCCGATCACCAGAACACTGCCTACCGGCAAGGAAGTCATTCGTGTTGGGCGATACTCGGAGCGCGACAGCCAATCCATGGCCAACATGCCCGGTAACCAGCCTTCAGCCGCCGCGGTTGGATTCAAGAGCAAGGTGGTTAGTCGCCGTCACTGCGAGTTCTGGCACGAGAACGGCAAATGGTATATCAAAGATGTCAAGAGTTCGTCCGGAACGTTTCTGAACCACATTCGTCTGAGCCCGCCGTCCCAGGAGAGCAAGGCCTTCCCCGTCAACGATGGAGACATTGTGCAACTTGGAATTGATTTCAAGGGTGGAGAGGAGATGATCTTCCGCTGTGTCAAGATGAGACTGGAGCTGAACCGTGGCTGGCAGAACAAGCTCAACACATTCAAGTAAGTGTCCTCCGAATTCACATGGAAGCCCCATGTCTGGAGCCAAGAGTTTCTCACTAACGCATCCTTTCAGTATGGCCGCCCACAAGAGATTGAGGACAATGGGAACAGGTTCTCAGGGAAGCAATGCCTCTGGCTCTTCCGACTGCTCGATTTGCCTAAATTCTATTGCGGTTCGTATTTCGCAAACCTTTCTTGGATCCCATTACTTATTCCTTCAATAGCCCTGCCAGTCACTATTCGTGGCACCCTGCTCCCATACCTGGCACTTTAAATGCGTCCGGTCGCTTCTCACATCTCCACAGTACCCCATCTTCATTTGTCCAAACTGTCGTGCCGGTGCCGACCTCGAAGCCGATGTTGATGATGCCGAAGACTGGGACCAGCTCGACGGCAACGACGCTGACGCTGAGGTGGAGGCCATCAAGGAGGAAGCGGAGCCAGCCGCCCCGGCAGAAGTACGCAATGAGACACCAAATGACGGCCCCTCGCCTCCACAGACTGCGCCGCCCCCTCCCCCAGCAGAAGATGAAGCAAGCATGGATATCGACCCTGCGGAGATGACGATGAACATGACCGTCGTCGAGTCCTCTGAAAACCAGCCAAACTCGACTCACACTACATCCGAGCCAGTACCAATAGCAAACCCGGCATCCGGGGCTGGTCGAGCTTCGAGAGACGGAAAGACTCCTTCGCCCCCTCCCGCTGGGACCGAGGGTCCGATTACACCCAGAAATGAAGCCGGGCCCTGGGTATTTGATGGTAGTGGCCAGCGAAATCCGGAGGCAGGCGAGGCAATGGGAAGTCTAGATGCAGCAGCAGACATGCTTAACGGGGCTTCAATAAACAGCCCAAAGCGGTGACGTGGCGCCCAGACGTTTTCCATCTCTCTCTCTCATCGGCAATCTTTCATCTGAGGCAGTTAATGGACATATTCTTTTGTTGTTGGGGCTGGCCTCCATTTTCTTCTCTTCCCAACCAGGAACCGTCGACGAAGAGAGAGTCTTGAAGTATTGTTTGCTACAGCCGTTCTGGGTGGTTATACATTGTCTTGTCTTTGGTCGTTTAGGAATCATCATCATCACGGTCCAGGAGTATGGGAGTCTTAATACAGCATTTTCATGGCCCGGGATAAAACGACAAGGAGGGTTTTACGAGGTAGAGAAGGAAATTTTCCCTGTTGTTATCTGTCTATTTTTTGTTGGCCCAGTCTTGTTTTTTGAAGGAGCGCTGGGAGGGACCCGGTGAACTGAGGGCACGGGCGCACTCGATTGTTTTGACGAACACGAGGGAGGAATATTGGAATTGTTCCCACAATCACAATGAGGGCATATTTGTCAATGTGGCTTTTTTAGTATAATATCGCCAGAGCATATTACGTACTCTTCTGACTTTGATATGACTATAATAGACTTGCCTTTGTGTTTATCTGACAGGTCGTCAGCCTCATGGGCTGTGCGCTCGTGATGATGAGGGGGTGCCTATCAGCACTCAGGAATTATGAACGTGTTGGTGTGATATGCCCAGCCAAAACGCGGAGCTAACACCTGATGTCATGTTTACATACCTTTCCCCGAGAGATATGGAATCACAAGCCAGGATGAAGATATCTCGCACAGAACTCATTTAGCATTTTGGGGTATGGGGCCAGTAATTACTCTATTTGCTGCGAATGGGATCGCCACATTTGTGTATTTAGGAGGGCTGTACTCCATACTATGTACATGAGACACTCAACAAGGGCTACAATCGGCTTATATTATTGTTCAACGTGTATTGGTAATGTAGCTGATGGCGATCTCGGACTCCACCACGGCAAACGCACCCGGAAGCCAGCACTTGTAACACATCGAAAGCTTCCATGTCTTGGCCACTAGAGGCCAACATTAGAAGGCACCTGGGCCGAACACTAGGCAACAAGTGGGGGCAGGTTCGCGAGCGTGGTCTGTGGTTCACCAAGCCCGGGCACTACCTACATTAGCACATGCGCGCGCGCCAGCTGGAACTGAGCCCGGCTTACACCAGACAACATCCAGAACGTGGCGATCTCTGTGACTGCCACGACTTGCACTCACAGCTCCGATGGATACACAACCTCGCAGTCCCATCGACCCTTCATGATGCTCCCTCGGAAGAGGCAGCGCCGGGATCTCCCAGAGTCCAGCGGCTCCTCAGTCGCCAGCACCCCTGTACCGACGCCTGCGAAGGCACCTAACCCCTCGACGTCATCACTGGACCAGCCAAGCACGCAGCAGCAGACACTGACCCTCAGCCCTTCCGGTTCAGACCCCACGGCTCAGTCAGCCCAGCCACTTCCCATGCGACAGGTAAGTTAGTATTCGTTCTCAAGCAGGTCGGCCCGTCTGTTCAACTAATACTAACTGCAAATCCGATAAATAGGTCCGCAAGTCACAAAGCTGGTACGGATCTTGGCCCAGGGCTCCCAAGGCATCGGCTTCCACCTCGGTCGCGCGCGAAACTATATTCGGAGATAGTGTAAAGTCAGACAAAGGGCCTGATCTTGGAAGGTTTGAGCCCAAGAAGGATGTTACCGACGCCACCGGTTCGCAAGCCGCGCTGATGGAAGGTAATGTTGGGTTACCCAAAGTGCCGGAGGATGAGGCTGCCGACAATCAAGCCGAGCCGGACAAGGAGCCAAAGCCTACGACGAGCGATAGTCAGCAAGCAGCTTCTGTAGACTCAGCCGCTACCGCGGTTGACCAGGCTGGTAGTGTCGAGATGCCAGCGCCTCCAAGGCCGGCCACATCATCGGGGTGGCTCGGCTGGTGGTCGAAGACGCCTTTCACTGATACGCAGCCTAGCACGGCTGCACCTCCTCCGGAAAGCAAGGATGACATGAAAGTCGATGAGCCCGAACGCCCAGTCACCCCGCCAGCCCAGACTGAAGATGCCGAGCGAGCTCAGGGAGAGCCTGAGCAACCCGTGGCCGCGCCGCAGTCCACGTCTTGGTTTGGGTTCTGGGGTGCGTCTCCCGCTCGCAACAACAAGCCAGCACCTAATCCCGAGCCTCAACCTGATATTCAGACTACAGAAACAGCACCAGCTGCAGCTACACCAGAACCACCGCCACCTACACAGGATAAGCCGATGACTGAACCTCCACCCAAGGCTGGCTCAACATGGGCGTTCTGGTCGAAGGATTCTCCAAAGCCCAAGGGTAACACCTCCTCTCCCCAGGACCCTGGAGAGATTGCAGTTATTGGTGAGGGCTCAGAAGCACACCCTCATCCGATGGCCGAGGGCGATGTTTCCAACACCCCTTCAAAGGCCCCCAAAGAGAAAACGAAGGTTGAAGAGCCAAAGCCTAAATCAACATGGAGGAGAAGTAACAAGAGAGTGCGGCCAGTTTCGATGGATTTGGAATCTCAAGCATCAACCTCGTCCGGGCAAATGAGCCCAGCGAAACCAGGAACACCACAACCCCCTTCTCAAGCCGAACAACCAGACTCCAACAAGACTGCCAAAGCAAGCCAGTCAAAACTAAACAAGGTGACGCCAGAGCCTGAAACCCAGACTCAAATGCCAGCCAACTTGCTCCTCCCTTCGTTCACAAGCACCTATCAGATGAAAGAGAACCCATCTATCATCAAGCAGATTGCGAAGCTTTTGCTCCGTACCCAGAACCCACCCGCCAATCATGTCTATCGGGTAAACGAGCCGCCCAAGATTCGTAAAGCGATAGCAATTGGCGTTCATGGTCTCTTTCCAGCTACTTACCTGCGGCCAATGATGGGCCAACCCACTGGTACCTCCTTAAGGTTCGCCGGTCTCTGTGCAGATGCTATCAGGAGATGGACAGATAGTCACGGTTGCCCTGATTGCGAGATTGAGAAAGTAGCCCTGGAGGGTGAAGGCAAGATCAGTGAGCGTGTGGATAACCTCTGGAAGCTACTTCTCAACTGGATCGAGCACATTCGGAGTGCAGACTTGGTCCTCATTGCCTGTCATTCACAGGGTGTCCCTGTGAGCATAATGCTTATCGAGAAGCTCATTGACCTCGGTATCGTCACCAGCTCCAGGATTGGTGTTTGTGCAATGGCCGGTGTATCCCTCGGGCCCTTCACGGATTATAAGTCGAGCATATTCATGGGCTCTGCCGCAGAGCTTTGGGAGTTTGGCAATCCACAAAGCAACAATTCGCAACGCTTCGAGGCGGCTCTGAAGCGAGTCTTAGATTACGGAACCAGAATCACATTCATTGGCAGTATCGATGACCAGGTAGTTCCAATGGAGGTCAGTAAACATCACGCATGTTGATTTGACGAAGCTAACTTGATGTCCACTCTCTAGTCTGCGATCTACTCTCCTGCCAATCACCCATACATATATCGGGCTGCATTCATAGATGGTCGGATCCACGCCCCCGACTTTATCGCACATCTAGTCGGTTTTGCTCTCAAGCTCCGCAACCTCGGGATTTCAGACCACGGGCTCATTCGGGAGTTGTCTATCCCACTTGCCGGCTCGCTCTATTCGGGTGAAGGTCACTCCAGATTGTATTATGATTCTGCGGTCTACGACCTCGCTATCTCGCACGCCCTTGAAACTACGTCGACCCCTCATCCAACCCCTTGTTCGATCCAGCATCGCGCCGCAGTGGCTGGCACTCAACCCAATCCGTACGTACTTCCATGGATTATGAGAGGTCTTCTGGAGGAGGACTTCGTAAAAACCGAGCTCAGCCATGAGACCGATGAGCTGTTGAGGCAGTTTGACGCCTGGAAGCCAGTCAACAAGGCTCTCAAGGATGTAAAATACAGATTAGAAGCGGTTCGCTCAAAGCTATGACGATAATGTTTGCCTTTTTCCTTTTTTTTTCTTCAACTACGCACTCAATGCCAAAACCACCCTTTAGATCAGGATACACCAACGCAATTATGATGGTCGCCAAGGCTTGGGAATAGATAGCGTCACATTTCAGTTATTCGATATACCCTAAATGTAGTTTGCAATAAACTTTTCCTCTTTTGAAACATCTATGCCAACTCCGTTTCGCTCTCTCTTTGCCATGAAGAAAGAGAGGTCATACATAGTCTATTGGTACATATATATAAAAAATTACACCTGAAAACCGTGTCCTCTTTGTTTCGTGAGTGTTCATCCCTTCCATACTTAATTTTTTTACAGTTCATCGCTCTACAGGTTTGCCCTTTTCATATGTCTATCTATGCCTTGCGGCCCAGGCCCCACTTGTCGATGCGGTCCTGGATCTTGTCCCAGCTCATGGTGTGGCTGGTCAGGCCGTACGCCTGCGCCTCCTGGAGGACGACGGTGGGTGCGCCGCTCCCCGCGCCGACGTTGCTGGTCCTGCCGCCGAAGACGTCCGAGGCGACGCGGCGCAGGTCGGTGAGGGTGAGCGCCTCGATGCGGCGGCACATCTCGCGGACGGGGACCTTGCGGCCGTGGACCTGGACGGAGCGGCCGAGGTCCTCGAGCTCGACCATGCGGGACTCGAGGTTCATGAGCAGGCTGGAGCGGAGCTGGTTCTTGGCGCGCTCGACCTCGGTGTCCTGGAGGCGGGAGAAGCCGGTGTCGAGGGTGAGGGCGTGGAGCTGCTGGCACATGATGTCGAGCATGGCGGAGGTGTGGCCGGGGAGGCAGGAGGCGGAGATGCCGAAGAGGCCGGAGTCTGTGTAGGAGTGGTTGAAGGCGATGCAGGACTCGACGAAGCCGTGCTGGTTCAGGACGTTGGTGTAGAGTCGGGAGTACATGCCCTTGCCGGGGCCGCCGGCTGAGAAGGAGCCGCCGCCGCCGAGGAGGGTCTGGAGGGTGGCCAGGGCGTAGATGTCGTCTGAGGCGACGGGGAGGCCCTCGAAGGCGAGGTGGATGTGAGTGAAGTTGGTATTGTTCAGGGACGGGGGTTGAGGGGGGAGAGAGAGGAATCCCCCAGTGTAGTGGGATGGCTGGTTGATTTCAAGTTCGGAGGGAGGGGTATTAAGAACGGCAGCGCCGTTGGGGGCGGTAGTGGAGATGTTTTTGAAGAAGGGAATCTTGGAGAGGATCTTGGGGGAGCTTCGAGGGGATGAAGCGGCGGAGGAGGTGACGCTGGAGAGATCGGATTCGCTTGTAACACTCTCACTAGTGTCTGATCCTGTTATCGTCGATTTTGAGGTCGAAGGCATATCGCCGAAGTATTGCTCTGCCAGTTGGACGGCGTCGCCGTGCTCAACACCAGCAAAAGCAAGCACCATCCTCTCCGGTCTATAGAATAAATCCCTGTACATCAGGACAGAATCACGGTTGATTACCCCGAGCCGGTCTTCAGGGCACAGAAGCGGGTTTCCCAAGGTGTTGTCCTTGAACGCAGCTGTGTGAACCAGTTCTGGTAGAATGAGCTCGGGTTTACTCCAGATCTCGGCAACTTCGTATCGCGCCGTCTCAATCTGAGCAGCAACCTCCTCCTCGGTGATCTGGGGATCGCGAATTGTCTCGGCCAGCAGGCCGACCGTTTGAGGTACGGCTCCGTTGAAGGTTGCCGCTTGGTACATCATGGATTCACGAGATGACGCACACTGTATGTTGCCGCCCAGAGCCTCCACCGTTTCCAACATCTCATCAGCGCTGTGCTTCGATGTCGACTTGAAAGCTAGGCGATCCATAATGTGCGATACACCGCGCAGCGCTTGGTTCTCAAATCGTGATCCAGCCTCGATGTAGACTCCCACACCAGAGAAGGACCCGGGGAGGGCCTCCGAAGCCACCCGTAATCCATTTGGAAGGGTTGTGATCTGATCGAGCTCTGTGGGTTCCTGTTTTGCAAGTTGTTAGTTTCGTGGTTCCCCGAAAGTAGACAACGACGGCAAAATCGAGGTATGAATCGTCACCAACCTTGGGTATCCCTTCGACGGAGATAGTGGCTAGTGATCTTCTCGGTATAGAGCTCTGTTTGGTGTTTGTCAACAGGCTCGAGCATGCGGCCCTTGCCCGAGGCTGTAACCGAGAACCAAAATTGCGCAGCATCTTTGGATAAATACCAGGAAACACTACGTTATGACTGGAACTCAAGTATTGGGCTTCTCCAGAGTAGGTGGAAATTTGTAATGCGAAGAACCACCTAGTCCTCGGCGATTGTTCGGATCGGTCCCCGTTCCACCAAAACCCCGGATCTTATCGCGCCGCAGCTTATCGCTTATCAGCTGTCCCGCCGTCGCCCAAGGAAAAAAAAATTCGGAGCGCATCAGCAAAGGCAGCCAGCCCATCTTCAGCCAAACGAGTGTGACCTTTGAGCGACCACAAGCAATTGGGTTGCTCGATTCTGCACATTCACACACACAATGAGCTCCCTCAAGCGGAAGGATGCCCCCGGGGGTCATCTTCCTGCGAAATCAGCAAAAAAGATTAAAGAAGGCCGACAATCGAAGCCGGATGGTGCAGCCAAGGATACAACCAAGTCGCCCGCAGCAAAGACCAGCGACAAGCCCAAGCCGGCGGTCGTATCGGTGCTTAAGGATGAAGAGCCGCTGTTCCCCCGTGGAGGTGGAAGCATTCTGACACCACTGGAACAGAAGCGCATTCAAATTGAAGCCAAGGCAGATGCTCTTCGCGAAGAGGAATTCAACACTGGCAAGAAGTCGACCAAGAAAGCCAAGAAGGCTAAGGCAAGCACCAAGGGCGATAAGAAGAAGGGGAAGGTCACTGAGGAGGACTTTGTAAAGATTGAGAGTCTCGGCTTCAAGGTAAGAGTTTTCGCTTCAAGGTCATGGTAATGCGACAGGGTCTAATAGTTGAACAGAAATTGGCCAAGGGTACCTTGATTCTCGGCCAGGTCTCCAAGATCAACAACCTCGATATCGAAGTTACGCTTCCGAATAACCTGATTGGCCATGTATCCATCGTGTCCATTTCCAGTCAATTGACAGACAGGCTGGAAGACACCGCAGAGCAAAGCGACAACGAAGAGGAGGAGGAAACCAACGACAAGGATGTAGACCTGAAGTCAATCTTTGTGATTGGACAGTACCTGAGAGTCTATGTCTTGTCCACAATCGATGAATCAGTCGCTGGAAAGGGAAGGCGGAAAATCGAACTCTCTCTCCGCCCCAGCGAAACCAACACGGGGTTAGAAAAGGACGATTTGGTTGCCAACAGCACCGTCATGGCAAGCGTAGTCAGCATCGAAGATCGAGGCTGTGTTATGGATGTAGGAATCCCCGACCTTCGAGGATTCCTTCCCAAGGCCGAGGTTGATCCTTCAATCACCGAGGATCGTCTACAGCCCGGTGCTGTGTTCCTCTGCGCCGTCACGGGCAAGGCATCTGGCGGCAAGGTCGCCCAGCTCACTATTCTCCAGAAGCGATTGGGAAATATCAAGGCCGTTCCTGGCGAAGCCACTACTATCAAGACTTTTCTTCCAGGAACTGCTGCAGATGTTCTCGTCTCGAATGCTGATCGTCGCGGGTTGGCTGGCAAGATCTTGGGGTCCTTGGACGCTACTGCAGATATTATTCATTCGGGTGCTGGACCCGATGGAAAGAACCCGGAAACAGCTCACAAGATCGGTTCTAAAGTAAAGGCGAGAATCATTTGCACGTTCCCGGCGGCAAAAGAGCCCAAGTTGGGAATTTCTCTTCTCCCTCACCTCACCACTCTCGGAAGAAAACGCCCGGAGAAGGCAAACCGCATGAAGCTTCCTACAGAAGTTCTCCCCGTCTCGTCGCTAGTTGAGAAGTGCACAGTCTCTCACGTTGAGAACGATATCGGTCTGTTCGTCGACATCGGAATCCCGGGCGTGAAGGGTTTCGTGCACATCTCCCGAGTGAAGGATGGCAAGGTTGACGCCCTCTATGAGACAAGTGGGCCTTTCAAAGTTGACTCTGTCCACAAGGGTAGGGTTGTTGGATACAACGAGATGGATGGTATCTTCCATCTCTCATTCCAGAAGAGCATCCTAGAGCAGCAATACATTCGTCTCGAAGACGTTCCCATTGGAGCTGTTGTAACAGCTGAGGTGGAAAAGCTGATTATCAATGAGGAGGGTGTCTCTGGTCTTATCCTCAAACTCGCTGATGGCATCACTGGGTTCGTTCCCGAGCGTCATTTGTCCGATATCCGACTTCAACATCCAGAGAAGAAATTCAAAGAGGGCCTAAAGGTCAAGGCACGTGTGCTTTCCACCAATCTCTCCAAGAAGCAGATGCGACTCACGATGAAGAAGACCCTTGTCAACTCAGAGGCCCCAGTTGTGAAGTCTTACGATGAGGTCAGTGTGGGCATGCAGTTTCCCGGAACCATCGTGAAGATGCAGGCGAATGGCGCATTCATCCAGTTCTATGGATCATTAAGGGGCTTTCTCCCAGTGTCTGAAATGAGTGAGGCATACATCCGCGATCCTAGCGAACACTTCCGTTTAGGTCAGGTTGTTTCGGTCCACGCTCTCGACGTTGATCCCGAAGCCAGGAGATTAGTCGTCTCATGCAAAGATCCTTCTGCCTTTGGTCTAGAAAAGCAAACCGCTTTGAAGAAGCTCCAGCTTGGTGACTTCGTTTCCGCCAAGGTCACCCAAAAATCCGAGGACCAAGTTTATGTTGAGCTGTCCGACAGTGGACTGAAGGCAGTACTTCCTGTAGGCCACCTCACAGACAAGTCCGCCTCGAAGAACCAATTCAGCTTGAAGAAAATTGCTGCTGGACAAACTCTTTCCGATCTTATGGTAATCGACAAGGACGAAAAACGAAGGGCAATTATTCTTACTCAGAAGCCAAGCCTGGTCAAGGCTTCTAAGGAGGGCAAGCTTCTCTCCAGCTTTGAAGAGGCCAAGGAGGGTCTTATCGTCGCTGGTTTTGTCAGAA